ATCTGTCCAGTAGACCAATTTCACAGCAGTCATTTTGACAGAAAATCGTAGGAAAACATAAAGCACATGTTAGTAATGACATTAGTGAAGGTTGTGCCCTATTTGAACCTGAGCCGTAATAATAATAATTATTATTAGTGTCAACACTCTTATCTCATTAGGGCTGCTGTGAATAAAGCACGTAAATATGAATCTACAGCTAGCTTGACTGATTTGGCAGAAGCAATGGGAAAATGGCACAAAGTTGCCGCTCCTAGCTAAGAAAGAGCTGGGAACAAAATTTCGAACAAAATGAGGAAAAAAAGTGTTTAACAGTGAGAACGGGTGATGGTCCTGGTGTTTGAATTTCACATCTGGACAGAGCCAGATTGGTACTTTGTGCCCATCTCCAGAAGGTTGTTTGTCCTCTCCCATATGGAAAAGAAATAGTAAAAACTTATATGACTTATCTCATGAAAGTGGCCACTTTCTCATTACTTTCATATATTTTTTTAGTAAGTGTCCAAAACATACAAGTTTCATTATATAATTTTTCAAAGGATCTTATATCTGTTTTTACTCTTGTATGCTTTTCATACAAGTTTCACACAAGACAGATACAAACTTTATAAGATTTATATATATCTTTTCCATATGGGCTGGGCAGCTCTTAGCGGACCTCTCACCGTTTCATATTGTAGCAGCTAGTAGCAGTTTCTTTAAACATGTCCATAAAAAGGATAGCTGCTGCTTGCGTCACTCATTGGTTTTGAAGCTTTAACCTGAACATTACAGTCATCAACATTTTATTAAAGTTGGGCGTTTTTACATAGGAGCCATCAGATGATAACAATGCTCTACTGCATGTAAAAATGCATCTATTAAGGCTTACAGACTATAAATTCACAGTTTGACGACTCAAGCTTCACTTGTTCAGTATCAGCATTGATCCTCTCGTCTCTGTCTTTGCTCTACCAGGTTCAACTGTTTTGAAGTTTTTGCCTTGGATGGAGCCAGCACCAATATTCTTCAATTTTGCACTGCAGCAGAAAGCACAGACTGGCTCCAAGCAATATCCACAAATATCAATGACTTGACGCAGGAGAATGTGAGTCCATTTCTAAACATTAGAGGCTTGGTTGGATCTTCCTCTGAGTGTGTACTAAAAATGAAGGTGAAAAGAGTGAATTCGAATGCTCTCGTGTTTCCATCAAGTTTAAAATGAATGATTTACACGTGCATATTAATAGTTTCACAACGGGAGGAAGGAAGGAATCACAAAACTTGACAAAATTCAGGTTGTGAATTATTTTCCACTTTTGATCTGCTCAGTAATAAAAGAATCCTTGAAACTGTTTTGCCCACAGTTGTTCCCCCCCATCACACATTAACGTGGTTTTAATAGACCCTCCCTGACAAGCACTCATTGACTCACAGTGGCACCTCTCCCCCTCTACTGACAAAAAAAAAGATGCTCTTCGATACCTAATTAATGACTGCTAAGTAGTCATTCGGCGCGTGCTCTGCTCGCTCTCATTTCCTCCTATTTCACTTTGATTATCACGCTGATGATGCGAATAGTTTTTGGTGAGGATGAAGACGTACTGTAAGCCCGTGCTCATCGATGGCACAGCTGCCTTTTTTAAAAAGTGTGATTAATTCATGCCTGCATTCACCTAATTACGGACGTGCAGCGTGATTGCTAAATGGCCAATCAGGATGTAATTGTGTTGCCACCTTGGGAGAGAGCGGAACTTTTGTTTTAATGACCTACAACCTTTAAATAGACTCTTTAACACTCTTGGGGTCCGTCGCAGTTTTCGTCGCAGACATGGTGGAAGACTATATGATGCTCTTTGATGTTCTTTTAGAGGAAATAGAGAAAAAAAGATAAATTTTTGGGCAGCAGCTTGCTGGTATCTAATAATATGAAGATTTCAGGTGACGGTGAACTTTTTGAATGTAGCTCAGGTGGAACAAGCCCCATGCTGATTGTGATATGCTGACACACCAGGTGTGCTTTCAGTGTGAAAATGCTTTGCTCTGGTTTGCAGCATTTTTCCTGCTGAGTGATAACCTCTGTGGCACATTTGGAAAATGCTTCTCTTTTTCTGGACCTATATTTTCTCAAGGTGGTCTTTAATTGACATGCACTGTCATCCAATGACTTTAAAATGGGTCTGCTATTTTGTGGATTGGTGGGGAGCCAACATGTCACTCCAGAGAGGCGTTTTTTCATTTTCCTTTATTTCACCTATTTTCATTTTTTGTGTCTATGAATTTATTAGATTCATTTGCAGGAGAGCATGTTTCCCAGGCAGTGCTGCTAACTTTAGATGTTTTTATTACCTCATTAATACGTTATAATACATTTATATTTGCTACTTAATTTATTTTTGTTTGTTTTTTTTGCTTTCTTAAGAAGTTTGTGTGGTGTGGTGGTGTTCGCTGCCCGGCTAGAGAAGGCTACTGCCTTCATGTAGTTCCATGGGGCTACATGGACTTTAACAGTGTTTACAATGGCCGTATGTGTCACAATAGCATTTATATTAAAAGACTAAATGAGTCACTTAACCTGTGGTTTTAATAAACAAGCTGATTTGTTTATTTATAATAAGTTCTGTAGCATTTAAGTGGTTAGACCTTAGCTTCTCTTGACACCCAGAATGTAAATAGACATGTAAAAACTGGTTAGTTTGTAAAAATGCACAAAAGATTTGAAACTCTTTGATTCACAGCTATTAAGGGTTCAGAATGTCTTTATGTAATCTGAAATGTAAATATGTTTTCTAACTGTATATCTGTTTAATTTCTGTTTCCTTTAATAGATAAAGATCATCAACAAGTACTGCTCTTCAGATGATCAAGTATGTCACTATTTGCCTAACTTGACACAAAAACACATCATTTTTGTATCTTTTTGAGAACAGGTGCTTAATTGCCAGAAGACCAACAGGCCAATTAAATTTCTTCTGACAGCACAGCTTCAGACCACGAAAGAGGCGAAAATCAAACTGAAAATGCCGTCCAACTGCTCGGACGACACTCTGTCAATGCGTATCCCTGCTCTGTGAGCAGAAACCTGACATGTGTGAAACAGCCTGTTGAGTTAGCTCAAATATTTTCCTCTGACCATATTCTGGGTGTGAATTTCTATTTTAGTCTCTAAAGCAGAGGTCTCGACTGCAGACTGCAATGTTTTAGAAACGGCACTTCTAGCCGTTACATTCATCTCACTTAACACTCGTCCAAAGCTCCTTTTGACCTGCCATAACAGCGTTTCTAGTTATTGTCGTGGCCTTTTTTGTTTTCATTGTTGTCAAGTTTTCAATTTAGTTACTACTGGTGAGCACATTCCTAGGAGTATACCAATGTATTCCATGTTGGCAGTAACTTTATACACATGTCTATTTAAGTTTTTTGTGAGAAATGTTATAAATGTGTATAAAATGACATCGTCTGCATACGACTGCAGCTCTGTGCAAAATCATCGGGGCAATATGAAAACTCAATTCAATTTGTCAGGGGAAAAAAAAAAAAAAAGTAGAACTTGCTCACATCAAAACTTTACTGCAGGATTCTTTAGATAGGACGTATTGCCAGCAAACACTCAAGGCCCGAACTTAGAAATCAGTGGACGTTGTTAACCACAGGATACGGGAGTGCAGCTGATAAGCAGTGCTTGGGATTTTCTCTGCTTTCCTCTGCTTAGATGAGAACAGGGCAACTTCCGAGTCAATCTGGAGTAGATAAAGGGAAATTGTTGCAGTGCAGCTGAGACTGCAGAACTGTATTGAAAAGTATCGTTTTAAATGGATGCTTTCTGAGTCCCCCCCCTCATTCACTTTGTCAGTGCACTGTAGACCATTCTTTTCCATTTTCTTAGTAAGAACATATTTTTCACTGTGTGTGTCTTTTTGTGTATTATCCATTTATTTATTCCAAATCAAATAATGAAAATATATCCTTCTGAATCTCTGCAGATTGTTCACATGGGCTGGGCATGCGAATGCCCCGAGGGTAGCGCTCCTGGTCGATCTTCAACATTTAAGTTCCTGGCACTGCGAGGACCATATTTTTATATCTTCAAAAGTCCGCCGGTAATTTGTTTTTTCAATTTTCCTATTCAATATGGAGAGGAAATTGGTACATTTCTGTGGTGGGTCAGAAACCTGACTAGAGTTGGGCAGGTTTATAAATCATTTCTTCTAAAGTGAATCATAAACAAAGTGAATTTCTACAGCTGGCTTTTAGAAAGGAGGGGTTGTGGTATGGTGCATATGTTTGCTGTGGTACTGGATACATGTAATTAGCAAAGGCAACAAAATTTCCAGATAAAAAATAAGAACTCTCGGTCCTGCCTGTTTGTGTGGAAGTTTTGAAACATAAGAAAACAATTTGCCCTAATTTTGTGTTTAATATTGTTGTGAGACCTCTGTGTCATCGTGTAATGTTGATACTTACAGAATGCTTTTCTACAATAAATATGTAATATCAGAATAACAGAAATGACAGTTGGCCATTATATTGTTTAAAGTGCAATTCCTCTAGTAGTTTATATCGGAGGTACAGAATGGAGCATGCGGCCTTTTATTCTGGACACTAAAGTGTCTTTTTTCCTCCTTATATAATTTAGAAAGTGTTTCTGGTTAATCACAGTTATTCAGTGGCTTTTACTCCCGAGGTAGTGTGTGCACATTAATGGTGATTTAGGTTTTCTTGGCCTTCCTGCTGGACTGTGCCTTTGTTACCCTTTACACAACTGTACACAGGAGAAGCTAATGTTCTCTTTGATGGTTCGTTAGTGTAGCAAACTTTGGTGTGCATGTATTTACTCTGTTTAAACTCAGATTGTCAGAGACTTTCGATCTCTTCTTAGCTGCAGTTTGAGAACAGAATCCAGGCATTTCCTGACCATTTTATGAGGATGCACGAAATAATAATAATGACTATTGACGACAGTGGCTGTAGGTGAACGAATACAGTGCAGCATTTCTTCTTAAATATTTTCATTTCAAATTGCTCATTATTTTGAAAGAGAAAATACTGTAAGAGGGTGAAAACATTTTGTAAAAAGCTTGTTTTAAGTCAGAAAGAAAATTCTCTTGCTTGAACAAGTTGCAGCAAATTAAAGTTTTTCCAGGCTCTAAGTGTGCCAGGCAGGCACCTGTAAGTGCAAACGTCCCGAAAGGAACTCCAGATATTGCAAGCTTTAGGTCTGCTCACATCTACTTATTACAAATACTGGATAACATTTCAAACCCAGCAGACCAAAATATTATGAAGGCTCTTACAAGAGGGTGACCCCCATCACCAAGATCTGCAAAAGCAGATCTCGTATCTAATCCTGTGAAGCCATCTTACATTTCCGGAGAAAACAGCATGCGTGTTACCCAAAAGTGCAAAAAAACCCATCTCATGCATGTTGAGTGCTGCTCTTTTATGCTTGGTGAGGACCATTCCACATGTAAAATGCATTGGTGAGTGAAAAAAACAGTTATAATAAGAGCAGGTGGAATTGAGCAGCTTCAAGCTGAATAGCAAAGCAAATATAGAAAAATAATTATATTCAAGAGCAGATAAAACTGTAGATTCCTCAAAGATCTTACATCTCGTAAAAAAAAAAAGTGTGTTCTCAAAATCCAGTTTTAGACCGTTTTTCCTTGGTGGGTGTTCCACATTAATATTTAAAAATGATTATAGCATTCAGCTGCGCTCCTAATAATATATATTTTAACAGTTAAAATGTTACAGTCATGAAGAAATTTGGATATGAATAGTGGGCTGAAGATTCTCTGGTGACTTTATTAATAGAATGCACCAGGTTTTATTTTAGTTTAGAGCAAACATTTTAATTAGAGATGTGTGAAATGTAGATTTGCAAAGAAGATATTAAGGAAAGAGGCAGTCGCATATAAAAGTAGCGCCATCTGTGTTAACTTTAGTTTTTGGTGCCAGAGATACATTTTATGGTGAATAAAAAAGGTCCAAGACTGGATCCCTGCTGAACACCTGTGCAAACTACAAGGACATCTGGGCTGAAGTCTTTGGACACAGAGTACAAATTAAACATGGCCTGTTAATCTGCACTGACTGAGCAAAGCTTTTCTAGTAGAGGGTCATAATACTGAATTAAATGCTTTTGGGAAATCCACAGAATAAAACAAAGAACCTTTAATATGGTTAGGAGTCTTTATATTCGCTTACCTACTGCAACCGAGTATAAAAAGAGCAGTTAGCCCAGCACAGAGGCAAAACAGGGAGAGGTCCAGTTTAAACTGACAACTTTACGACATATCTTATCTCCGCTTATCAATTCCTCCCCACCCCCAAAAAGAAGAAAACATTAGAACATATAGAATGAAAGATTTTATGGTTTTAAAATCTCTTCGAATACAATTAAATGATAATTGATAGAATGGAAATCAGATTTAGCTTTTCTAATAAGTACAAAAAGACAGTTTTTTCTTAGTAGCTGAAACTTTGCAGATAGAAGATTGTTAGATATTCAAAATCAGTCTGTTCTGCAATGAGAGCATTGTGGAGGAGAACCAAGGATTATACACAGATATATTCTGAAATTTTTAAGGCAGCATGATTAAGTACATATTAAAATTTGTGACGTGATTAAAGGTAGGTCATGATTGGATTT